AGGAGTTCAACAACTATTCGAAAACGTCTGTTAACCAGTTTCATTCATGTCTTCTTTCTTCTAGTAACGAGGGTGCGATCTCAAGGCTTTGTGACCATTTCCTTCAACGTAGTGACCAAAGACATGAAGAAGTTGGGCTATGACGTGAGCCCAAGCGACATGCAGAACCCTTCTCTGGTGCCTGTGACAGAAGGAATTCATAGGTACTGAACTCAGGCGTCAGACGTTCAAAGGCTCACAGAGAAGTTACACGCTTTGGGGCTTTTTGTGGCAAAGGGGAACGAGTATCTGACTAAACTGAGAAAATTTCACTTGAGACCGTTATTCATTCCAAAAGAAACACAAGCCCATGAGGCTTTGGAATAATTACCTAAGTATAATCCTTTCAGTAAGCATACAGGTTGAAGTATTATGTAAATTAATGTCATCAGATAATATTTTGCATTTTTATGAGTAAAATCAGGCTATCTCAAAATAAGACCTGTAACAAAATATTTTTTTATAACAGCCTTTTGTACATCCTTTATATACTTAAAAGATAGGAAAGTTTATAGTTGTAGCAGTTTTCCTGTGTTTAAAACATCACTGCAAAACCAGTTCTTTTTACTGATGTTTTTTTGTGGTGGAAATGGGAAATTGAAATTATTGCACCTTCCAAAAAGGAGGGAATATGGAAATGGTCTGGTGAAACGCACGCTGTGCTTCGCTGTGCCACGTGCTGCCCTCTGCAAAAGCAACAGAGGGTTGCTTTATGATCCCACATAGTCCTTTAAAGTTTGCGCAACCAATTAAAATGGCTCTGCAGGAACAAACCTTTCCACATTTTTTTCAGTGAAGCAACCTGGGCTTTTGCATTTAGAACGAGATGACGACTCTTCCATTTCCAGATTTTATTTCTGCTGTTAGAGGAGTTAGACCATGGCGTTAAACATATCCTTGCTGTGTCGTTTTTAACTTCTGGTAGAACAAATTGTATTTTAAGATATTGACTGAAAAATACACTTTAGAGAAGGCTCTGCAAAGAAAGCGGAGCCTCAGTAAGCCAGCGATGTGTGCAGTCACACGCAGCATTAGCTCCAAATCCGGTAGCAGAGGCACTGCGCTGCACCGGAGAGCGGGGAGTAGCAGAAGGGACCCTCTCCTCCTTCAGCAGGTCCCTCCAGCCAGCACGCTACATGGACAGCGTACCGTGGCTTTCCTTAGCTGCTTTTCTTCTCGAGAGAAAGGCAGTAAAAAAGCAATATAGCGAAGTTCGAGCCTGCTATACTCGGGTTTTCTTTCCCATTGCGTAACCTCAGAGAAGGACCGAAACGATGCTGGTTGTCAGTCGTGTGTGGCAGGAGCCCAGAGCCGACGTGCCGCGCTCAGCTGTCTGCAGCGTGAGGGCACAGAGCTGGCCTCGGTCCGAAGGAAGAGCTGCTCCGGTGTCTCTCCACGGCATTTCACTGAATCCCCCTCTGAGCAAATGCCAGCGCTCTTCTTTTAGGCTGAATAAACCCAATTGTTGAAATATATTTGTTTGTCTTTCTACTGCTAGGGTTTTATTTGCCAGAATGGATGTTTCCAAGTCCTAAATCATCCAAGACCTGCTATTCTTACAGATACAAAAGAGAAAGAAGTGTACACTACAACGAAATTACTAATTGCTTAGCCATTTTCATCTTTAAATTTGGGCATGTAATCTCTTGTGTTCGACTGCAAATACCAAGAGATGACTGTGAGAGTGACTTAACACGATCCCACCCTGTAAGTGAGCTACCAAGACCTTGACAGTGTAGAAATAAAAGCAATAACACACAGGGTTGAACTGCAGAGCCTCCAGGACATGTATCAGATAAAGCATCCAGGTAGAGACCGTTATTATTTCATGCTGAGCGCTGTGGCTGAATAAATACAATTTCTGAAAAGATCCTGTGATCACTGTAATTTTGCTGTGAGCATTAGCATCTTTTATACTATTTATAAATACTTTTCCAAACATGGTTACAGGTGATTTTTTTTTCATCTCTTTCTTTTTTCCTATCTTGTTTTTGTCAGTTTTACACTTCCAGTAAGCTCCTCCACCGGTCATTTTGGCAACTGGTGTAATCTCTGAACTGAGTCATGTTGGAATCCAAACTAATAAGTATTTCCTGTTGGCTCAGAGGAGATGGAAGGAATTTTGTTTCCTTTTCAAAAGTATTTGGAAAGCAGTTAGCTACAGTAGCAGGCTAAATATCTACGTTTGAAATACTTGAAAGGCAAACATTAAACCTACTACCGCTTCAATATCTTTTTTCCCTTGAGCACAGTTACCTGCCCTCATTCCAATTAGAGCAAAACTGCATAACAGGGTTTCTAGTTGTGAGAAACCTGTTAAACCCAGATAAAGCCCAAACTTCGTGCCCGCAGGGGCGCAGGGAATTTATTCACACACAGCTTTGCAGCGTGGTACTACACCCGACCGCCTGAATTGCTCCTGTTTCAAACGAGTAGTTGGATGCTCACCACGCCAAGAGCCACCAAAACCAACACGTGCGTTTGCGCAGCTTCGCCGTTCACAGCCGAGCCCCAGGGACCTTCAGAAGAAAGGTTAAAAGAAAACAGTGAGAAGCCAGGGTTTAAAAAAATAAGTAAGTAAAAATCCCAAACTCCGTAAACCAGTATTTAAGATACATGACTCTATGAGCAGATCCCACGCTGCTACCTGCATTATTAGGGCTTTTCGCCTATCATCTCTGGGTTTGCTTGGGTTTTGGGGTTTTTTTTGACTCCTCAGTGTCTCGAGCGTGTTTATTAACAACCTCGCATACCTTCTTCAAGGCCTTACTGTGTTTAGCTTGCGAGCGCTTCACCGCGGGAGCTTTTCCGTCTGACAGAGTTTGTTCCCTTAGACAAGGGCACGCGCGGGGGTGATGTTTTCACTAGGTGTTTCCCGAGTTCAATGCCGTTCCTTTGTTCCGAGAGGCAACCGCTGATCCCTCTCATAAACATGCTCTTCTCCCAGAGACAGGCTTGCTGCTGCCTTTATAATTTTCAGGAAAACTGTCTCTAGTTTAAGTCTTTGGTACTCAGAGCGTTTGCAGCTGTTTCACCCCGGAGAGAATCTCTGCTCTCAGGACAGAGGAGTAAAGACCGACACGGCACTGTGCTGCCGGGAGCGGGTGACCTTGGTAAGGAAGGGATTTAGGACTCGTAAGTGTTCGCTGCAGTTAAAGGTTAAAAGAACCCATGCTTTAAGAACAGCTAAAACCCAGAAAAAAACCAGCCTTGCCATAGTGGAGGCTCAAAGTAATTTCCTTTCGCCCACCTTCCGGGCAGCTGTAACCACCCTGCTCCTTTACTAGTTAATAATCATTTTCCCTTTTCTTCAAAACCGGACTGAAGCTCCCAACCCCTTGTAGCACAGCTGGCAGCGTGAGGCTGTCAGCTGGCGCTGCAGCTTAAGTCTCTCCCAACCAGGGAAATTGGCCATTAACCTCCTAATTCAAGATGGGCAGAGGGGAAAAAAAAAGAAAAAAAAAAAAAAAAAAAAAAAAAAAGAAAAAAAAAAAAAGAAAAAATCTTTATTCAGAACATGTGTCCTGACACAGGATGAGGCTTCGAGGCCATGGAAACAGTGAGACCATTAGAGGCGAAGGAAGCCTGTGAGATAGTTGAGGACTTTGCAGAAGCCTTCCTCTGCCGATGCGCTCCGGAGAAGCTTTCGGAGAGAGCTGCCCAGCAGGACCGTGCTCACCTCCATGGGAGAGTTTTCCTGCCGTCACCGTGGAAGGTACCCTGGGAGGGAGACAGCCAAGGACACGGACTGAACAGCAGCTTGGGAATCAAACCCTCCAGAAAAAGGAAAATCATTTGGATAGCCTTTCGGAACTGATATTTGCAGCCCTTTCTACCAAAACTAGCAACAGCAGCATCAGCTCCTGCCCTCTCGTGGCAGTTTTCAACTTTTAGGAAGATGTTGGAGGCTGCTAATAACAATTAGTTAAGAAGATTGCATGAAGGACACCCAAGTTTTTTCTCTTTCTACATGGAAAATTGCTCAATGCAATGGTGCTGGCTGCCCCTCGCCCCGAGAGCACGGGGCAAACATCTCCCAGCGCCACGAGCCACCCGAGCTGCCTCGCAGGGAGCGGGACCGAGCCAGAAATCTGCATCAGTGAGCGCTTGAGAAACCGTCTTTGTCCTGAGGCTAGCAAGGCTATTTTACAACAGCAGTATTGCAGCAGCTAGAAGTTATCTCCGTCTGAAACCGAGAGCCTCGGCAGATGGATTAAAGCTGACAGCAACTGCTCCCCAGCAGCGGTGTCAGTTTAGAAGCAGGAGCCTCCAGTGAAATAATGCAAGAGGAGGGGAAAAAAAAAAAAACAAACCCAAACCGAAAAGGCAAAATAAAACACAGAAGCCCAGAAGAGCCAGATTTGAAGAAAATTGGAGCTTCAGCTCCAGCTCCACCTGGGCTCATCACCATCGCAAACCAGCCCCGGGATGACCCGTTCGTGCCATGAGAGCACCACAAACCACCCCCCCGCGCCCACCACCCAGCCCAGCTGGGGATCCAAGGTCCAGGCACGCAAACCTGGGCCAGCAGCACGTCTGCAACAGCAATTCTGAACGTCTTCCAGGCCATGCAAACCCCAAGCAGGAACACGGCAAAGAGCTGAGCAAAGGCTGCCCAGCCCACACCCCCAAGGGATGCTCAGCGCTTGTTCCCTTTCCTCCTCTCCCCGTTCGTCCACAGGGGATCTGCAGAGGGGATCCCCAAGGCTTTTCCCACCAGCGGGGAAGTCCCCTGGGAAGCAAACATGGGTGAACCCAAACCCCAAAGAGCTGAGGCAACTACGGGTGTTCGCAAACCCAGAAACAACCGCCGCACTTGGAGCGGGGCGGGGGGGGGAGATAAACCACCAAACACAAAACCGCAGCTCTGGCCAGCCCGCAGAGAGCACCCAGCACCCTCCGCTGCAGGGCGCGGAGCGCAAGGACAGCGGGATACGAGGGCTAGGCTTGAGACAACAGATTTCCAATGCCCGGCCACCTTCAGGGCACAAATCCTGTTAGAAACCATCCTTCGGCCACCAAAACCAGGCCTGAGCCCCCAGGAGGGAGGCTGCAGAGAAGCGAGGGTGCAACGCAAGCCGCTTTTCATGGCAGGACGCAAGTCTGTCCTGCTTCGGAGGGAAGGCTCCCGTCCTTCAGAGGGAAGATCTGCAGAAGCATCTAA